CAGCGTTTGTGTACACCACAGCGCCTGCGTACACCACATCAGCCGTGTGCAACACAGCACCAGCGTACACCATAATGCCTAAGTGCACTACAGCGCCTGTGTTCACCACGGCGCCTGTGTGCACCACAGCAACTGTGTGCAAAAAAGAGCGCCGCCGGAATCTACGAGTCCTCCAGAGGCCGCCCGCATCATCCTAACTCCTCCCATCCGCGTCCAGGAGGCTCCCTTTGAATTGGCCGTCCGAGAACCAAGTGGATTGATTCAATGGACCATTCTGCGGTGCACGCTGAGATGCGCACGTGCGCTGTAGCGTTGATCCGCACGACATGGGGGAGGATGAGGGAGGAGGAGGAGGACGAGGAGAAGGAGGACGAGAAGGAGGAGGATGAAGAGGAGGAGGAGGAGGTGGAGGAGGGAGAAGGGAAAAACGCTGCATTTTATTATCAGCACTCTCTTGGCGTGCGTGTAGCTGGCCGCAGCAGATCCTCACTGACATGCTCTGTCTACTTGACCTGTGCACGCAGGTAGTCTGGTGTACACCAGCGCTGCGTTGCACGCGGATGCTGTGGTGTAGACAGGCGCCGTGGTGTGCACAGGCGCTGCGGTGCACGTAACCAATGTGGTGTAGACAGGCGCTGGGTTGCACATGGCTGTTGCGGTGTAAATTCGCTGTGCTGTACACCAGCGCTGTGGTGCAAGCAAACACTGTCGTGTACACAAGCGCTGCGTTGCACACTGCTGTTGCGGTGTACGCACGCGCTGTGGTGTACACGAGCGTTGTGGTGCACGCGAGCACTGTGGTGTGAGGCGCTGTGGGGCAGATCGCGACCTACATGCTGCTCGCGTCGTCGTCGTCGCTCGTCGCTCGTCGCTCATCATCGTCCGTCGTGCGCGCGGCGCGGTTGTGGTGCCGGAGCCACACGTCGGGGGGGGGGGGGCGTTACGTCATGCCCTCCCCCGCCCCCCCCCCCAAAGGACGCCCGTCATCGCCGAAAACAAAAAACGTGCTCTTGCAGGATGCCTGAAAGTTTTCTTTTCGATTTCAGATTTTGGGGCATGCCTGGAGGAATCGAGAGGCTCCCGAAGGTTCCCTGAGGGTTGTTACTGCGGACCCCAGAAGATTCGTAATTGACGCAATGTGATATTTGAAGGGTTCCTGGGGACTTCTGCCGTTTCTTTAAGGGTTCCTGGAAATTCCTTCAGCATCCCTGAGGGCTTCGTGAGGACTCCTGCGGATTCCAGGGCAATTTCCAAGCATTCTTGAGAAGTCGCGTTGCACCCCCCAAGACTTCAGCAATGAATTTTGGTGAGACGATAGGGTTCCGAAGGAATCCAAGGGGATTTCCTGAGGATTCCTTCGGATTCCTGTCGGTTTCTGAAGGACCCTTGAAGATTCTGGAAGGGTTCCGGAGGCTTCACGGGATTCCTGAAGGATCCGCCTGGTTTGATAGAATGAATCATTGGGACTCCTTGAGATTCCTGAAGATTCTTGTGGGTTTCCCGAGGGACTCCGCGGATTCCTACAGGTTTGCTGCCGACCCCTAGAGGACGCATGAGGATGCCGGAGGGTTCCTCAAGATTTGCTGAAGGCTTCTTGTGGCCCCTTCAGATTCCGTATGATGTTTGAAGTTTTTGGGGAAAACCACAATGTTATTGAAGGATTCCTGAAGGATTTCGGAGGCTTCTTGCAGGTTGCTGAAAGATCTCTGAAGACTCCTGAAGGGTCTATGAGGCTCAATGGGGCTCCTGAGAAATACGTCGGTGTTTTTTGAGCCCGAATGGATCCCTCAAGATTCCCACAGATTCCTGAGGCGGGGGTTCTGGAGGATTCCTGGGGATTCCCTTTGTTTTCATGCCGATCCATGGAGGATTCGAGAAGATCCTAGAGGTTTCCTAAAGATTTCCTCAAGGCTTCTTGTGTGCTCCGTCAGGTTCTTGAGGATTTCCGACATGATTCCTGAAGGACTCAAGAGGATTCCTGCAGGACCCCTGAAAGAGTCCCAGCGATTTTTGAGAATTCGCTGCCCCCCTTCCCCCTTCCGTTTCGTGAGTTAATACAGGATTCTGTGTGCTAAGATATCGCCGAAGGGGTTACTTCGGTGGTATCCAACCTTGTTCCCAACCATCCTGTGGTGTTGGGTCCTCGTTTTGAAGAGACGTCGCCCCGCGTTCTCCTCCGCTCCTCCTCCTGCTCCCCCTCCTCCCTCCCTCCTCCCACCATCATCGTCATCATCATCATCATCATCATCGCCGTCGTCATCATCACCGTCATCACCATCATGGTCGTCATCATCACCATCATCGTCATCATCACCATCATCGTCGTCATCACCATCATCGTTGTCCTCGTCGCCATCATCGCACGTTTCGTGGCCCCATACGGAGCTCCACCGAAGGTCCCAGTGGGTGTGCCCGCATGCGTCCCGCACACCCATTTTGGCACACCCCTCACACGTTTCGTGGCCCCATAGGGAGCTCCACCTAAGGTCCAAGTGGCGCAGCTCGCATGGCGCCACCGCCCCATTTTGGCACACCCCTCACACGTTTCGTGGCCCCATAGGGAGCTCCATCTACGGTCCAAGTGGCGCAGCTCGCATGGCGCCACCGCCCCATTTTGGCACACCCCTCACACGCTTCGTGGCCCCATAGGGAGCTCCATCTACGGTCCAAGTGGCGCAGCTCGCATGGCGCCACCGCCCCATTTTGGCACACCCCTCACACGTTTCGTGGCCCCATAGGGAGCTCCATCTACGGTCCAAGTGGCGCAGCTCGCATGGCGCCACCGCCCCATTTTGGCACACCCCTCACACGTTTCGTGGCCCCATAGGGAGCTCCTCCACGGTCCAAGTGGCGCAGCTCGCATGGCGCCACCGCCCCATTTTGGCACACCCCTCACAGATTTCGTGGCCCCTCAGGGAGCTCCTTTTGGCACACCCCTCACACGTTTCGTGGCCCCATAGGGAGCTCCACCTGAGGTCCACGTGGCGCAGCTCGCGTGGCGCCACCGCCCCCTTTTGGCACACCCCTCAATGTTTCGTGGCCCCATAGGGAGCTCCATTTACGGTCCAAGTGGCGCAGCTCGCATGGCGCCACCGCCCCATTTTGGCACACCCCTCACAGATTTCGTGGCCCCTCAGGGAGCTCCATCTACGGTCCAAGTGGCGCAGCTCGCATGGCGCCACCGCCCCATTTTGGCACACCCCTCACACGTTTCGTGGCCCCTCAGGGAGCTGCACCTAAGGTCCCAGTGGTGCAGCTCGCATGGCACCCCTTCACACGTTTCGTGGCCCTGGACTGCGGCCGCCACGAGGTCGGGAACGGCAAGAAGGAGGACGACGACTGGTGGCTGGAGCTCTATGTGCTGCTTCTCGCGCGCCACGCGCCACGAGGACCTCCTGCTCATGCGGGCGCCGCGCATCGAGTTCTTCCTGGCAGGACCGCCGGAGGGCCTGCGAAAGCAGCTGGAGCAGTTTGCAGCGCGCACGAAGCGGTGCAGGAGGGAGGCGACGGCCCTCGCCAGGGAGCTCGGCTTCACCGAGTTTATCCGCGAGGCCTGACCTGAGGAGCGCCCCCCCCGAGCCGCGCCTTCTCTCGACTGCCCGCATAATTGTTCGGCCTCGCGCCGCGGACGACCCGCGCGCGTCGCTGGGACCCTCTCGGGGCGACCAGCGCGCGTCGCGGGGATTCCGCGCGGCGCTCTGCTCAGCGCCTCGCTCGCCCGTCGTCGCTCTGCCCAGCGGCCGGAGCCTTGCCCGCAATCAGCCGGCCGGCTAGCTCTCTGTGCTCCGCGCAGCGGACGACCTGCGCGCGTCGCTGGGACCCCTCCGCGGCGACCTGCGCGCGTCGCGGGGACTCCGCGCTGCTCTGCGCCCGCAGCTTTGGATTTTTGGAGCGCGCAGGCAAAGAGGGGGGAAAGAAAGGGACGGAAGCGGGTGCGATCCCCGTGAGGGGCGTGCCGACATGGGCGTCGCGGCGCGCGGGCGCTGCCGTCGGGGTTCCCGCGGGGGCTGCCTGCGGCGGCCACGCCCAGTGTCACAAGTGTTCGGGCAGGCATGCTCGAGCCATTCACATTCATATGCATTTACACTAGGCGTAGCCAAGATCGCACCCATGCAAATATACTCACTCCCACGCAGACCCAGTCACACTCAGACTCTCTCGCGCTCTGGCTCACCCGCGTTCATTCTTTCGCAGTATGACCTATCGTATTCCTTTGCGTTGTGTACCCCGCCATATTTCGGCATGCCCCTCATGCGGTTCGTGGCCCCATAGGGAGCGCCACCGAAGAAGGTACTCACAATTGCGGCATTCACAACTGCATATGGTTGGGTTCTTTGCCAGGATAATGCTTTTATGTGCTAAAACGACACCAGGGGTTTTGATAAGTGGCTCCCAGGGCTATTCAAACATATTCCGTGCAGTTTGGGGGCCCTGGTTTTGGCCACGTCGCCCGACTTGGTCAAACGTCATCGCGACGCGGCCCGGCAGTGCCGGACCTCATCGTGGTGGTCCCAAGCAGCGTCTGCTTTCGCGGCGCCTGGGGCTTGCCGGGGCCATGGTTTGCAGTGGCCCGGGGCCCGCTGGGGCCCGCCGGGGCCACGGTTTGAAGCATGGTTGGATCCGGCCCCAGAGTTTGCCGCGGCTTGCATTGGCCCCGAGGCTTGCTGGGATCATGGTTTTGTCTTGATGTCGTCGTCCGCGCCGGCACCTTCCATTTACAACTCGCGGCCCGAATTCGAAATGACCGGAAGTACACATGACCTGAATCAGTAGTGAATGTTCTGTATACAATAGACAAAAGAAGAAAGAGGGAGGGAGAGAGAGAGAGAGAGACTGAGCGATAGAGGAGAGGACAGGCGTGGAACGCATGCGAAACTTCAGTGGGAGCCACAGGTTGGGGTTGGCTTTGGTGGTGTGATGTCTCAGATTGCTGTGGCACGTATGTGGCCTGGCCGGAGCACACATCATACCGGTGTGCCCCCCGTCTTGCTTCCCGGAAGGAGGGCCAAGAGGGAACGCGCCGCCGCGTTCCTGCGGGAGCAGGGCTTCGCCGGGCTCAACGCGCGGAGGCGTCGCAGGTTCCCCTTCTGCGGCCGCTTCACCTACGCGCTCCACGCCGCCGTGCGGTTGAACGACGCTTCCGTAGTCGAGGTGCTCGTGCAGGCAGGAGCAGACAGCGATCTTGAGGATTCCGACAAGCTCACGCCGCTGGCGCTGGCCTTCAAGCTCAACAGGTGTGGGTCCCACGACCGTCTGATCGTCATTCAAGGCGCTTGCGCCACTCCGCCGGCCCCCACAAGAGGACACTTGCGGCTTCCGATTTCGTATGTGTTGTTTGCCGCTTTCCGTCGTTCTGCTTGCATTTTGCCGTTGCTGATTTGTCCTCCTCTTCCTTCACGTCTGTTGCGGGGCTTCTTGTGGGCCTCGTTGAGGCCTTGGAGGCGGCCGCGTGGTATTTTTGCTTTGGGTTCCCAAGGGGCTGTTCGCTGCCCTCGGGGGGCCTCTTTGGGCGTCTTGGGGAAACGTTCGGGGTCTTGGGGCCATCTTGTGGGGAGGACCCCTGTAGCCCCCGCGAGCTCCCCCTTTTGAGCATCTCGCGGGCCCCTCTTTTTGACGCCTTTTTTGGCCGTCTTGGGGCTTCTGTGCCGTCTCGATTCTCTCTTAGGTCATTCTGGGCCTTCTTTTGGCCCTCTTGGTCCGTGGAGGGCCAGTCTGGGGGGGTCTCACAGACCGCATAGGGCTAGGTGAAAACCGAAAAGGCGAGAACGCTAACAAAGGTTTACACATGTGCATTCTTACTCAAGTGCATTGTTTGTGTGTATATATATATATATATATACATACTCGCATCCCCTCCCATACATACATACATACGCACACACATATACATGCATACATACCTAACTACCTACCGACCTACCTATCTACAAACAAACATAACTACAACCATACCTACCTACCTACCTACCTACCTACATACATACATCAAAACATACATACATCCATACACACTTACACACATACATACATACATACATACATACATACGTACGTACATACATACATACATACATACATATATACACATACATACATACATACACACCTACATACATACATACATGCATACATACAAACACACATACATACATACATACATACATACATACATACATGCATGCATGCATACATACACACATTCATACATTCATACATTCATACATTCATACATACATACATGCATGCATGCATACATACATACATACATGCATACATACACACATACCTACATACATACATACATATATACATGCATACACACATGCACACGTACATACATACATGTATGCATGCACCTATACACACATACATACATACATATATACATACATACGTACATGCATGCATGCATGCATGCATGCATACATACATACATACACACATACATACATACATACATGCATGCATACATACATACATACATACATACATACATTCACACATACACACATACATACATACATACATACATACATACAGACAGACAGACAGACATACATACATACATGCATGCATGCATGCATGCATGCATGTATGCACACATACATACATACATATATACATACTTACACATACATACATGCATACACACATCCATACATGCATTCATACATACATGCATGCACGCATACATACACACATACACACATACTTTTGCGTCGGCGGCTAGGCAGGGTGACTGCGCTGGCGGAAAGAGCATATGTAGGGCATACAAATGCGAATTATGCCGCGATGCACGTGTGGGGGGTAGGAGGAAGGCCCTGCGCGGGCGGGAGGGAGAGGAGGCCGGGCCCGCTCAGAGCGGGGCAAGGCGGCGGCGGGGAGGCGCCGGGGCCAGGGTCTCGCAGCAGCGCCGGGGCAGCAGTTGGGGGGGTAGCAGCCAGAGTGGCCGCCAGGGCAAGCGCCCACGGGGGAAGCGACAGGTCCAGCGCGAGCTGGAGGCGGAAGCAGCACAGCTAGGTGGCCAGGGGCGCCGAGGTCAGGGTGACCTACGATACGACCTGGGGAGCGAAGGCGAAGGCAGCGGGCAGCGGGAGCACAGGGTGCCGAGTTCACATGTGACCTGCGAGGTGCCCGGGGAGCGTGACAAGGGCGAGGCAACCCTCAAGTCGGGGGGGAGCGACGGACAGCGGCCCACCAGCCAGCCAGTGAGCGCGGGCGAGACCCGGGCAGCAGGGTCGCGACTGCCACTGGGGTTAAGTCGGGCGTGTCCCTCTACAGGATGCATATTCAAACATAGTCCAAAAACACTCTGACGATTTTTCGACTATTTTTGAATATTTGTTTCGTCCAAAATCCTCCTGCAGGGGGACATGCCCGACCGAACACTGGGGCAGCGTGGGACCGCCTGGCCAGGACGGCAGGGGCGGAGGGCGCGGCCAGGGCGGAGACGTGCCTGGCGCCAAGGTCCAGCATTGCCTGCGAGGCAGCCCGGGCCGAGACGGCCAGCCCAAGGTGGGGGGCAGAGAGGGGGGGAAGCGCAAGGCAGTGCCCCGGCAAGACAGGCACGGCGAGCCTGGCCCACGAGTGCGAGCCAGGAGGGCGGTAGGAGTTATGATGTTCCAGCCTACTTTAGCCTTGATCACCAGAAAGAATTTCGAGTACCAGAAAAGTACCCAAAAACTCTGAGGTCCTCACGTGTCGGGCCCTGGGAGACACTCGTCCGACACTGTTTCGACACTCTTTCGACACGTTTCCGGGTGCTCGAAATTATTTCTAGGATGTGGTCCTTAAGTACGATGGGCGCAGCATAAGGTGGGAGCCGAGGTCATGTCGGGGAAACGTAAGACCCGAGTAAGCCAGAACTCGGGTTTGCCGACGTTTTTTGACGAGCGCGTCCTGGATTTTGACGGTCTGGTTTGCGGGGGATGTTTGCAGCGGGAGCTCGCGTCAATGTCGGATTGGGTCTCGTCATTGTCTTGATTGCCCCGTCGTGCCAGCCCGAGTCCCCCGTGTACCCGAGTCTCTTACGTCTCCCCGGTCATGGGTGACCTACAGAGCAGCCGAGGCGAAGCACGTGGCCCGCCGGCGATGGGACTGGCCCGTGAGCCAGACAGGCCGCCATGCGAGCGTCAGGCGGGGAAAAACACACAGACACACGGAACCGTTTATTAACAGCAGGATCTAGGAAGATATGGGAAGCGGGGGGGGGGAAGCCAAACACCCAGAACCTATGGGGAAACTTATGGGGATTCCTGGGGGTGTTGTGTGTATTTTTCTTTGTGTGTCCCTGGGCCCCATTGAGAGCGAGCTGCCTGCATCGGAGGAGGAGGCAGGCCCGCGGGGCGGAGGCCGCGGTTGGCCTGCCGAGCGCCCGCGGACCCCAAGCGGGGGCCCGGGTGGGCTTTCGAGGGGCCTGTTTTCCGCCCCCACCGCCACAGGCTGGAGGGGGGGAAGGAGGTGCGAGGACGAGGAGGACGACGAGGAGGAGGAGGAGGACGAGGAGGAGGACGAGGAGGAGGAGGAGGAGGAGGAGGAGGAGGACCTCCCCCTCCAGCTTGTGGTGGTGGTGGTGGTGGTGGAAAACAGGCCCGTCAGGGCTGGCCTGAAAACCAAACAGGGGCGGTGCGGCGCCAGAGCTCAGAGAAGCGGGAGGGGCAGCCGGGGGGGAGGCGGCCGGCGAGGCCAGGCTTAAGTCGGGCGTGCCCCTCTACAGGAGGAGTTTGGAAAAATAGTGACGAAATTGTCTGGGGACGACTTTTCGACTATTTTTTCCCGCTTTTGAGTGTTTTTGTGCTACTTTTAATTTTTCCTCCAAAATCCGCCTGTAGGAGGATACGCCCGACCTAACGCCAGAACTCAGAGAAGCAGAAGGGGCAGCCGAGGGGGAGGCGGCCAGCGAGGCCAGGCGTCGAAATCCTGCAGACGGGCCGGCGATCCAACCTGCACGGCAGAGCCGAACAGGTCATGTCGCCAACATCGCCGAGCGGATTTCGTTCGAAAAGAACGAGAGGTTGGGCCGGGGGTTGTCCTGGAGAATTTCGTTCCAGATTTCGAGGTGAATGTCGTGCGGATTTTGTTTGGCCAGGAAGGACGACCAAAAAGAATCCACGCGAAATTTACTTCGTTTTTCGCTCGCCGCTTCGGGCAAAAATCCACGCAGAAATCCGCTGCAGCACGTCTGCGGTGCAATGAAACAGGGGATGCAACGGCGGGGGCAGGGGCCTCCTCCTGGGGCGACAAGTGGGGCGAACCGCGAAAATCCCGAGCCCCGTGGCAGAGCGGGGAGCGAGTCAGCCACGTGCAGGGGCCTCCTCCTGGGGCGGCAGGGTGGGGCGAACGGCGAAAATCCCGAGCCCCGTGGCAGAGCGGGGAGCGAGTCAGCCACGTGCAGAGGGGGGAGGGGGGAGGGCTCCTTAGAAGCACCCCTGCTTCGTGGAAGGCGCGGGCCTCCTCTGTAGATGCAAGGCCGGCGCCTTCTGAGAAGCAGCCTCCTCCTGAGGAGCCCTCCCCCCTCCCCCCCCTCTCCTTTTTGTGCGCGCCGCCGAGTGGGGCGAACGGCGAGAGTCCCGAGCCCCGCGGCCGAGCGGGGAGCCCCGGGCGGGAGAGAGCGACGGGGCGGGCGCCAGGGGCGGGCGGCAAGACCAGCCCAGGCGGCGCCGAGGCGGGGGCGAGCACCTCGAGGGCGGGGCACGGGCGCACGGGCCCAGGGGCGCAGTGGTCGACGCAGTGGTCCATCCTCGCCTGCAGGGAGCGCCGGGGGTTACCAGAGCGGTGGGCACCGAGGCGGAGGCCTACGCAGGACGGGAGCGCGACGACGTACACACATGCACGCATGCGGCAGGTTCGCGTCGTGTCGGCTGGCGGTGGCCCAGCCGTGGGCGTTCGACGTTGAACGCCGCTGGCGACCCACAGTCGGTCGATGTTGAACGGTCTGACGTTTCGGAAACGGCCCAGTTTTCAAGGTTGAACGATCCCCGCGGTTGCAGGAACCAGCGCCAGGGTCGTCACGACACGAATCCGCCGTACGTACAGAAATACGTACATACGTACATCCATCCATCCATCCATCCATCCATCCATCCATCCATCCATCCATCCATCCATCCATCCATCCATCCATCCATACATACATACATACATACATACATACATATATGCATACATACATACATACATAACCATACAACCATATATACATAACCATACATACATACATACATGCATTCATTCATACATACATACATACAAGCATACATACACGCATACATACATACATACATACATACATACATACATACATACATACATACATGCATGCATACATACATACATGCATACATACATACATATATGCATGCATTCATTCATTCATTCATACAGTCCTATGCACATACACATTTACATACATGCATACATGTGTACATACATACATACATGCATGCATACATGCATGCATGCATACATACAAACATACGTACACGTATGCATGCATGCATACATACATGCATACTGGGTTGTATACCGATGCACACCCACACATACAATCACACACAAACACGCACACATACTTGCTTGTATGCATACACGCATACGAACATACGTACATGCATGCGTGTAGGCATACCAGCTTGCATGCATACATGCATACGCATACACATGTACATATCCGCATGCACATGCACATGTGCATACTTATACATACGCATATACATCTAACAAACATATACGAACATATAAAACTACGTACCAACATGCATGCGTACACACATGCATACATGCACACATACATGCATGCATGCATGCATATATGCATACATACATACATACAGCCATACAAACATACATGTATAATTGCATATATGTATACGTACGCGCGTACGTACATACGTACCTTCAGTCATACGTGCATTCATACATACGTGCATACATACATGCACCTGTAATGCATGCATCTGCATATCTATACTCACGCACATGTAAGTTGTGAGTTTCGTCTCTTGACGCCCTCGAGTAGGATGCTCTGGAGGGCCTGAGGGTGCGCTGGCGAGTTCTGGGGGACCCCCTCAAGCAGTGGCGAAGCGTCCTGGCGTGCTTATAGGCCTACCAACCAATGTTGTAATAATCTTCTGTGGTCTACACGACACGTTCTTAGAACATGTCTGGTCGGGGCTCACATCGATTTCATGTTCCAAGAACATTGTTTTGTTCGTAGAGCATTTTCGGGTTCTAAGAACATGTCGTGGTAGGCCTGTAGAAATGCCGGGACCCGTCGGTATCTGCTCAACCCCTGTCCCCTCCCCCCCATCCAGTGTGATTTTGGGCCCCAGGGGAGGGAGAAGAAGGGGAGGGCCAGCCAGCCAGCCAAATCGCCAGCCAAATGTCCCACACGCCTTGTCTTAAGTCGGGCCTGTCCCTCTACAGGAGAATATTCAAATTAGTGAAAGAATAGTATGGGGACGATTTTTTGACCGTTATTGTTTTTTGTATGTGTGGGGTATTTTTAATTTTTTTTGTCGTCCCAATCCGCCTGTAGGTGAACATGTCAGACCTGAGCCTTGTCACCCCCAGCAGGAGGGGGGCGGCAGATTCTCTCAGCCGACAGCGTCGCCAGCGCGCCTCCTCCGCCTCCACCTCCTGCTCCTCTACCCCCTCCTCCTCCTCCCCCTCCTCCTCCTCCCGCTGATTGTGGTGAGTGCTCTGGTGGAGCCCTCCCTGCCGCGTGCAGTCACTGCACCGGGGTCGCGCTCGTGGGCGTGGTCTGCGACTGCGACTGCGGCGATGCTGCTTGAGGCGGGAAGACTGTAGCCCTGGGTTCCTCGAATCCCGAGGTATACCCCTGTCCCCGATCAAGCAAGCAATCATAAGGATTGTTAGCTTCCGCTGGATGGCCTTGCATCCTTTGTTAGACACTCTCGCATCCTCCTACTACCTCCCCCCCTCTTCCTCCACTCCCGTGGGGCTCCCCGTTAGGGTATAGATAGCATCCTTGCGCTTGCCTCGAATCCGATTACAGGAGGAGGCCAGCTATCCGCCTGCACGGGCCTCGGCCAGGCCAACCCTGAATCCAGGATGGGTGGTGCATGTCAGCCACGCGCAGTGGGGGGTAGGGGGAGGGGGGAAGGCTCCTTGGAAGCACCCCTGCTTCTCAGAGGGCGCGGGGGGCAGATCCGTGGATGTGAGGCCGGCGCCTTCTAAGACGCAGCCTCCTGCTAAGAAGCCTTCCCCCCCTCCCCCTACCCTTCCGTCGGGCCTGTCCCTCAGGACGAATATTCCAAACTAGTCAAGAAATAGTCTGGGACGGTTTTTCTACTATTTTCGGCTGTTTTGGGGTATGCTTTGAACGTGTTGCAGTTTTCGTCCAAACCCGCCTGTAGGGGGGGCACGCCCGACTTGACCCTACCCCCCCTTTGCGCGCGCCGCTGAGCGTGCGCCCTCCTGGCCCGGGGCCAGGCAGGAAGGGACCTCTGCGCACGGAGCCCCGGCACTCGGGTTGAGTCGGGCCTGTCCCTCGACAGGAGGAAGATGCAAAAATAGCAAAGAAATAGTATAGGGGACGCTTTGTTGGACTATTGTTGCCCATGTCAGGTGTATTGTTTCGAGTATTTTTTATTTGTCGCCCCAAATGCATCTGTAGGGGGACAGGCTCGACCTAAAGGTCACCCGCGGGGGCGCGCAGGGCAAGCGCGGCGTCTGCGGGCTGGGGCCGGGGGGCCTGCCCTCCTCGGGGGGCGGCGAGGGGGCGCGAAGGCGGTCGCGCCTCGCGCTGCGCGCGTGCGCGAGGCGGAGCTCAAGCAGTGGCGAAGCGTCCTGGCTCGCCTATAGAACCTTCTGTGGATTCCACGGAATGTTCTTCGAACAGTTCTGGCGGAGTCTGTCTTGTCTCAACACATCGGGCTCATGTTCTCAGAACAGTGCTTTTGTTCTCAGAACATGTTTTGCTTCTGAGAACATTTCGTGGTAGGACTATGGGAATGCCGGGACGGTCGGTCCGTGCTCAATGTGCGGGGCAGGCGGACAGTCGGCGCCTCCCGATCTGCTGCCCCTCTGCCGTTTCACCGTGGGCCGCCCTCTCGGGCTGCGGGGGGGCGGTCCAGCCTCGCCGGTGGTGCCTGCGCGGTGATGGGGGCACGGGCCTCGAGGCGTATGATGTTCCGACCTGCTTCAGCCCGGATCACCCAGCAGCAATCTCGAGCACCAGGAAAAGCACCCAAGCTGCAGGGCTTTTCGCGCGCCGGGCCCCCTGGAGGCGCCAGCGTGTCGTGCCGGGCATGCGCTGTTTCGGTACTTCCTTGGGTGCTCGAGCGTAGTTCTGGGATGTGGTCCTCGAGTCGGCGGCGAGCGAGGGGGAGAAATTGAGAAGGAGCCGGCCTTCTCAGAAGGCGGCGGGACTTCTCGGAGGCCCTCGCGCCCTCTGAGAAGTTTTTCTCTGCCTTCGGGGACGGCTTAGAACACTTCTCAGAAGGCTGGGGGGCTTCCGAGCCTCCTGAGCAGGCCTTCTCCTCCTCGCTTCCCCCCCCCCTGGCTCGCCGCCTATCAACCACCCCAACCCAACCCGAAGGCTCAGATTTACCCTCGATTTCTAGTGGGGGGGGTCCGGGAACATCGAAAAAACACATATGGAGCCCATACCCCCCCAACCCGAAATTCGGGGCTTCGGGTTGGGTTGGGGTGGTTTGGTAGGTAGTCAATCAAGGACGCTGGGAGCAACATACCTCGAGGTGCCGCCGTGCCCCCCTCGTCCTCCGCACGAGCCCGCGTCGGGGGGGGGCGTGCCCGCGGCGCAGGGCGCGGCACCTGCCCTCTCCCCGCCGCAGCTCTCGCCCCCCCCCCCTCTGGCTCGCGCTCCCACGGTGCCGTCGGTGGGGGGATCTGCTGCCTGAGGCGATCTCTCTCTCTCTCTCTCTTTCTCTCTTTCTCTCTCTCTCTCTCTCTTTCTCTCTTTCTCTCTTTCTCTCTCTCTTTCTCTCTTTCTCTCTCTCTCTCTCTCTTCAGTTCTCTCTCTCTTTCTCTCTTTCTCTCTCTCTCTCGTTCTCTCTCTCTCTCTCTCTTTCTCTCTCTCTCTCTTTCTCTTTCTCTCTTTCTGCTTGATGCGATCTTTCTCTCCCTCTCTCTCTGCGGAGGTGGGCAGACATCCTCCCCCTACACGTCGATTCAGGAATTAGCCGTTTTCGGTTCGCGAGAGGGCGTCGTGGCCGTCACTTTTGCGGGTCCAGGTCCGTCGGTTTCGGTCCGAGGCCGTTTTCACTAAGAGGAGGTTTGCTAAAGAGAGGTTTGCCCACCGCCGACTCTTTCTCTCTCTCTCTCTCCATCTTTTTTGACGCTGGGCGGACTTTAGCAACTGGGCTGTGGCGTTCTGGTGGCAAGAGAAGCAGTAGAGCCGCCAGAGTGCAGACTAGACAGTCCCTCTCCGCCTCCCCCTCCCCCTCCACCTCTCCATTCTCCTGTCCATCCTTCCATTCCCCCTCTCTGGGCATCCCAGCCAACTACGTTGTGGTCATCTCACGTCGCGGTGCCATGGAGTTCTTGACCCCATCCCTGAGACGGTTCTTTTGTCGTCGCGGATCGCTGTTTTAGCCACGCGGGCTCAAAAGCGCGCCCGTCGATGCTCGGATCGCAGACACAAAGCGCCCCATTCGTGGTGTTTCCGTAGCGCTCGAAGATCTGGGGCGCCTTGCCCTCAAGCTCGGGCGCCAGACGTCGCCCGGGGGTCGTTCTGGCCATGATTCCGGAGGGAGTCCAGCCGTGGCCGACGAGGGCGCTCCGGAAGACCCGACATTCGAAAGGCGTCGTTTCCCGTATGTCAAGAGGGGGAGGTCGCGAGGTTGGGGCCTCCTTCTTAGGCGTCTCCCGAGTCGACTCGGGGTGTCGGCCTGTCGGGTTCTGGCCATCATCGACGGACGAGACGGAAGGCGCATTTGCTCAAGCACGCTCCCCACGGCGTAGGTGGCGCGGTCTCAAGGGGGAGGAGTATGTTTACGACCTGGAGGAGGAGTAAGAGGAGGAGCAGAAGGAGGAGGTAGAGGAGCAGGAGGAGGAGGAGGAGGATGATGGGGAGGAGGAGGAGGAGGAGGGGGTGGAGGAGGAGGCGGAGGAGGAGGAGGAGGGGGGGGAGGAGGGAGAGGACCAGTGTAAACCCAAGACGCATCATCGATATTGTAAAACACTCTCCATCCAAGCTCCCTAGTCGCAGGATCCTGTAACATATTATATCCATTGTGGAAAGTGCCCCACTGATTTGTTGCCAAAGCGCAGTTCCTTGGATTCCAGCACCGCGAATCAGCGTGACCGCTGCGTCCTGACATTCCCAAATCGTGCCAGAACACCCTTCGTGGGGCCTCAGCACAACGCCTCAACGTGACTGTTGTGTCCGAGCAATATACAACCGTAGCAGACCATCAGTCCTGGGACTTCAACGCTATGCATCTTTGAAATTGATTTTTCTCTCTCTCTCTCTCTCTCTCCCTCTTGATTTAGATAGAGTTTTAAGACCACTGCGTAGCGATCAGGCGAGAGCCACATTTTGAAAAGGCGCCGCCCTCTATTCTGGAGCATGTTGCAAACTTTTCAGACGAGTGCATACGGCGCTAAGGCGAGAGCCCTACCTAGAAGCCGCCATCCACCCCTGAAAGTGTTCCCACTTCCAAGCTTCAGGATCATACGTGGTGAACAATGAGGAAGTCGCGGGCGAGACGCCTTACCCGCCATACGAACAGGTTTGGTGATGCCACAGGGACGAGCTATTTATATGGAAAAGGGCCGGAAGGGGAGGAGAAGGAGGCGCAGATGGAGGAGGAGGAGGAGGAGGAGGAGGAGGCGCAGCAAGAGCAGGAGGAGGAGGAGGAGGAGGAGGAGGAGGAGGAGAGGGAGGACGAGAAACAGAAAGGGAAGGAGACGGAGGAGGAGGAAGACGATGATGATGATGATGATGATGATGATGATGATGATGATGTTGATGATGATGACGATGATGATGATGATGATGATGATGATGATGATGATGATGATGATGGTGATGGTGATGGTGATGGTGATGGTGATGAGGATGATGCTGATGATGATGATGATGATGATGATGAGGAGGAGGAGGAGGAGGAGGAGTAGAAGGTCGAAGATAACGAGAATAACGGAGTACGAGAATGATGATGACAAGGGCGAGTGTTAGGAAGCGGAGGAGGCGGAGGAGGCGGGGGAGTAGGAGAGTAGGAGGAGGAGGAAGAAGAGGAGGAGCAGCAGGAGGAGGAGCAGCCGAAGCAGGAGAAGGAGGATGATGGTGAGGAAGAGAGAGAGAGAGAGAGAGAGAGAGAGAGAGAGAGAGAGAGAGAGCGAGAGAACGAGAGAGATCTGGAGGAGGAGGAGGAGGAGAGGAGGAACAGGAGGAGGAGGAGTACGAGGAGGAGGAGGAGGAGGAGTACGAGGAGGAGGAGGAGGAGGAGGAGGAGGAGAAGGAGGAGGGGGTGGAAGAACATGTGGCGAAATAGGCGAAACATCAACAGGAGGAGGAGGAGGAGGAGGACGAGTAAGAGGGAGGAAGACTAGGTGGAGGAGGACGAGGAGGAGGAGGAGGCGGATTGGGCAGAGGAGGAGGCGATTGGCAGGCGGAGGAAGAGGAGGAGAACAACGAGGAAGAGGAGGAGGAGGAGAAGGCGGAGGAGGAGGAGGAGGAGGAGGCGGATTGGAAGGAGGGAGGAGGAGGAGTGGGAGGAGGAGGAGGAGGAGGAGAGGAAAAGGAGGAGGAGAAGGAGAGGAGGAGGAGGAGGAGGAGGAGAGGAGGAGGAGGAGGAGGAGGAGG